TGCCTACAAAGTTAGTAATATAGTTTAGGAGGATTTAACAAATCTATAAAACAAATCAAACCAAGTGGGAGTAAAAGAACATTCAATCACAAAAGGGTAGGATAACAAAATTAACCCAATTGAATGATGAACTAATAGATGTGAATAAGCTAGAAGGATTCAAAAGTAGTGAACGTAACAAAGACTTGTGAATTCATTCCATTGAACTTTGGGGACGACATTTGTGATTACCACCTATTAACAAATCCATAATGTACCTTAGAGATCTAAAACCCACCAAATAAAACACGCATAAAAAAATGGGGCTGCCTTAGAAACTTAGCAAGTGGTATCCTCCACTTTTTAGCTCCACAAATTCGAGCAATAGCATATTCTTTGTTGTAAATCTCTGAGGCAATATTTAGTCCACCAAGATAAAGGATGTTCTCTATTGGTACTCCAACTACTGGCATGTAATATTATAGATTAGAAAACAGAACAACTGAGGAAAGCTTGTTGGGAGGAAGGGTGGGAGGTGGACAAATGAGGAAAGCATAACCATGACATGCAAAAGGATTGCTGCTAGTTTTGTGGATTGTTGCTAGTTTTGTTATATGGATTGCTGTTAGTTTTGTGGTTCAATCAGTAGTAAATGTGGGTGTTTCCCCATTCCTTATCACATACATTTGGAATTCATTGTTTGTGGTTTACATCCCTATAGTTGAAATAGGGCACTAGGTGGAGGATACATATGGAAGCTTCTTGTTTTGGTGTAGAATAAATTATAGTACTTTGGAACAATTGAGAGATGGAGAGGAGGCCAATCTCCTTGGAGAGAATGGTAATGGTGGTCAAGCTAATAGTAGCTTGAAAGAAGTGAGAGATAGAGAGGTGGTCAATATTCTTTTAGAGAATGGTAATGGTGGTCAAGCTGATGGCTTGAATCCAATTATGGTTTCGAAACAATCCGAATTGCATAACCATGAAGGAAGTTGGGTTTTGGCTCAGCCTCCAGTTGGTGAAGGTTTTGATATAGGATTGGATGCAAAAGGGCATTGGACAAGGACTAGAGTGACCAAGGTCAGCCTGTTGATATGCCCATTTTGGTTTCTGGCACAACTCACTTTAATCTTTCTCTAAAGTATACTATAGTTAGTCACTTTTTGCGTTTTGTATTGCCCTCTTTCTTGATTCCCAAGTGATTTTGTATGTATTGTACTAAGTTTTTTTTTTGGCTATTGTGATTGCAGTCAAATACTTTCTTAAGTAGTGCCTCCAACCTGTTCTAGGTATTGGAAATTCATTGAGAGATGACCAATCTTCTAGTACAGATTGAGCAATTTTTGTCATTTCACCATATTTTCTTGTTTTCTGTTATAATCTTGAGATTGGGTAGACTATAAATTCATGGGTGTTCATCATTTAATATTTTACTGCTATCATGTTCAGGTCTATTGGATAATGTGCTAAGTGACTACTTACGGGCCAAGGTTGTTCTTCTTACAACCATACAATGGCAATAATTGAACTTACAATTCAAGTCCCATTAGCAGTTGTTGTGGATTAATTCACCTCGTTTCATGGATTATGTTAGAGCTGCTGCTGTCACGGTTGGTTTCGCACGCATTAACATACCCTCAGATACGTTTTCAAGATCAAAAAAAGCTAGTCTTGAATTAGGAAATAGAGATGTCAGTTTAACCGTTCAAAATCATTTTTCATTGACGTAAAAAGATAACCATTGTTGTTTTTGCTGGTGTTTTAGAAGCCATTGGAGATGGCAAGGTTCTGGATGAAACATTTTCGGCTTGATATCAGTGCTGGAGAAAGTAATTCTCCTTAGATCCATATTTGAATTTGAAGAGATAACAAACCTACCATATGCCTTCAATGGGTCTCCCTGAAAATGTCATGGAGAGTTGGCAGGCTAGTCCTTGACTCAAGTCATACACAATCAAGGAAAACCTTGTAAGTTTTAGTCATTCTGCTAAAAAAAAAGTATATATATATAAAATAAAGTAGAACGAAGTTTGAATCAAAAAAGACAAAGAGAGGTCTAGATCATTATGAGATAAAACATAAACACATCCAATGGACAACGTAATCCCAACATAAAAGACAGTTCAAATCATCGTAAAAATTTTGATCTAACGGTTTGCAGTTAGTCTTGAATTTCTTTTCCCGCCTATGAAGAAGCCTCTTATCGTAAGACTCTGCACTCTTATCTCTCATACGTCTCTATTTTAAATTTGAAAAGGCACAATAACAATTTAGATTGAATTCATTTTAAATTAAATGATCTAAATGTTATATGTTAAAAGTATATTGTTTGTACCTTGATTTAGGTTAATTTTGTTTAATTTTTAATTTTACGATAAAACTTTGCATAAAATTAAAAATATTTATATTAAACACACATAAAATACATAATATCTCTAAGTTTAGTGCTTTTTTTTTCAAAGTTTGATAGTTTAACATTTGACTCCAATAACCGCATATACTTCGTCACTACAACACAAAAATCAATATCCAAATGGACAATGTCACAATTTTTGGACATGTAAGTTATTTAGTATATCAATTTTTTCAAAACCTTAGGTATAATATTTCATTAAAAACCATTATATACTTACTGTATAATTTTTCATCATTTTTATTAGAAATTGATTCATACCTATAGTACATTATAAGTAGATCTTCTTATCACGCATCTTAGTACCGATGATTGATATTTACTTCTTACTTCTTATCAATCAATGAAGTTTAAATATTCTTTATAATCCATAAATAAAATTATCAAGTTATTATTCATACAAAAAAAAAATCACTACTGTCTGAAAATCTATTGTTCTCAGAAATTTTAAAAAAAATTCAAAACCCAAGTTAATCAGCAATTAAAAAAAAATAAGATACCAATTGCACCAACAAAAAATATTCAAAACCAATCTAATCGCTATGTGTTAAAATTATTCAAACATCCTATCTTTGTGTGTTAAAATTTTATAAGTAACATAGTGCCTTCAGGCACTAACAAATGACTAGTATATATATATATATATAATAAAGTAGTTTATAATTCAAATCTCAAAAGATAAATAAAATGATTTTTGCTATTCGCGGTTGAGATCGCTTTAAATTTTACTTTAAAGTTAATCTAACGGCTAATATTAACACCCTAAATTTAATAGGAAAAATATCTATACTACTTATAAAAGTGGCTTAAAGTGAAAAAACTTTTAATTTCCTTATTTTTCCTTTAGTAATTTTATAATGTCTATTTTATCCTTATTTCAATAATTCTCATAAATTTATTGTTTCCATTAATTTAACTAATAAATTCATTAATTGACTTTTGATTATCTTCTTTATTAACAATATCATATCGTTTCATCTTCTTAAATTAATAATGTATATAAACTTGACATTATTTGAGCTGTAATAATTAATTTAAATTTTGGATTTTTTATTTTTTTCTTTGCTCAATCTTATTTATATCTCTATCTCTATCTATCTATCTATTTATATTTATATTTATATTATACCACATATAAATGTCAGCTATTAGGAAAAACTTTTGACCAATCCTCTACTCTAAAGTCATTTTTATCCTAATTAAATAATAAAGGTTTTAAAACTAATAAATTTGGTAATAAATATTTAGAGTGCATTGAATAACATTTGCCAGAAGTTGAACCATTTCAGAATTCCATATTAGAGGTGATACAAAAGGTCAGAAACTCATGTACACAACACTAAATGAACGCTTAATACTACTTACTTACCACCCAAAAAACACTTAATATAGTCCCAAATTGAGCTTTTTCTCACTGTTTATCTCTTGAAAACAATTGTGAATCCTTCGGTATTAGCAATACATCTCAACTTCTACGCCTGTTTGTTTTTCCTCTGTCTAATCTCTCTAATTCACTGCTACTCATCACTTCATTAACCAATAGAGAAGGAGAGGAAACTGACCGAGGGGGAGCCAGATCATCACTTGAATAGCTTCCTTCCTTTTTGCTTAATTTTGGCGTGGTTGAGGTAACTGACAACACCTGCGTGGAATTTTTCACTTACATCTTGCCTTTCTTATATTATTAAGTTGCACAGATTTTAGAAAGTGTAATGAAATTAAATTACAATTTGATATTGTTCAGACTAAAATTGAAAACAACCAAAAGATTAGCACAAATGTTATTTAGAAGCTCAGGTTTATCATTTGTTCCGTGCAACCAAAACAGTCTTGTCACATTTTTTTGTGGAATTTGGTCAAAAGATCGTGATGTTCTTTGAGTTGCTAATGATATTGGTTACACTCTATTTTATTAAAGCTAATGGGAATAGATAATAGAAAAAAGAAGTGATAGGCTTGATCTTACGAAATGATTCCGATGTGAAGAAATCTTGCTTGTGAGTTTTTGTATTCTTGTCTCTAACTGCAGTGTAATGTTAGTTTGAGTTTGGTTTCCAATCGTATATTTTTTATATCCTTGCTTGATTAGCCCATTTGGTTATTATTTATCACTTTTGTTCCAACTTCCAAGTATATGTTGTTTCTTTAGAATGATATTAAGGAAATCTTTCATTGAAATTTTTGTTGGTTTCTTTGAATCAGTGTTGACTTTTGAAACACTGAATTAATAGCATATTCTTTAAATATTTGACCCATGATTACTAACTAATAGTGGAAATCAGCTGATGACGTTATCTTTCGCTATTTGACCTTACACATGTAAACAAGATTCTAAATTTTATTTTGAAATAGTCAAAATATTTTTATTTCCATGAAACACCAAAATAAATCAGTGATTAATTGTCGATTTCTTACATTTTCAGGTTCTTAGAAGTGTTTCGGGAAGTTTCAACCAATATTTCAAAAATAAATTTTAAAATTTTTTTATTCATTTATATTTCGTTTTTGAAATATTTTTGAATTATTTTCGAAACGTTTTTGTTTCTTAGGAGGCCAAAACAATGCATCAAAATTAAATTGTAATCCTTCCATGTAAATTGTAAAAGTTGCTTAGTTCATATCTTTTCAGGGCTAACTAATGTTTTTCTGTCTTGTATTTCAATTACTTGCTTATTTCAAAGAATCAAGACTGGTCTTTTGCGAAATTTACCAAAACCATCTATTTCTAATTCTATTTTAATTACAGTCAAGTAGAATATAAGTAGACTTTCATGAATGACAACAATTGAAGCAGGCAACAATATTGCATAGGTTCTATGACTTATTTTATACCTCTATGCTCTTTTATTTTTTTTGCGATATGCCTTCCTTGCTTAATAGATGAGTTGCACATACATTGCTGGTGTCAACGTACTAGCAATCTAACCTATCCATCAAAATATAGGTACTTTAATTTGAATCCACAAAAGATTTTTTCTTTACCTTCCTTTTAGGACTTCTCTTATTTTTCGATTCTCAAGTTGTAGTGGCTTCCATTTTCACCTCCAGGAAAAGCCATTGTGGCCTCTTCCTACAAACATTTGCAATTTAGGGGTTTCCCCTCAACTTTGGTTCCTATTTATTTTTTACATTCTCCAAGGATGCATAGTCACAGATAGTAATCCTTATGATTGCCGCCTCATGCATTGCTTTTTCTGTTGTCTTCGTGACCGATCAATATAATTTATTTGAAGCACAATCGATAACTTGCTAGAAATCCCCAGAATTTTTACGAAATTGTTTTAGTTTCTTCCCCCAACTTTTCACAATTATAAGCAGATAGTTTTCAATTTCATCCAAACAAGTTTTCCCATGACATGGGATATTACAACCAAAATTCCGACATGTTTAATAACTTATTACTCAGGCTAAAGCTGGGTATAGAGGTATACTGTTAACATACTTTATTGGAAAAATTCATTTGATCAGTTTAAAAAAAAATTAAAGACTTTCTTCTGGCCAAGATTGAAAAAGGAATTGATTGTGTGTGGGTATTACCTTTTTTTTTTTTTTTTTATGAGACTTCTCAACTCACACGAGTGCATTAGGTATAACTTTGGAAGTCTCTTTGCTTTTTGCTTATGTCGGTGTGGATATGAGAAGCACAATTGCTATGAATTACTTTATTTACTTCCATCGTTGATAATATTCAATTGTTATTCGTGAAATCATAATGTACATCGAGCTGTTGATCACTAAATAAATAGCAAAATAAATTTATCCTACCTAAGTAAGAGAATTTAATTTATTATTCTTATTCTCTACATTTGATTGGTAAACATATATTTGTTACTATATTTATTAAAAGAATTTAAAAAAATTATAATTTATAATGATTTACGTGTAATGCACGTGTATAATTACTAGTACTTCTAAGAGTGTGTTTGAAGTGACTTTTTAAAAATACTTTTAGAAATTATCTCATAAATACTTTTTTTTTAAAAAAATAGTGTTTGAAATTGTTTTACCACTACCTCTATCACCATTGCCGCCACCACCACCACCACTGTCGCCGCTGCTGCTATCAACGTTGCCACTACCCCCACCACCACCATCGCCACTACCATCGCTGTCGCTGCCTCCACCACCGCCACCGTTGCCGCCCTCAATTCCACCACAATCATTGTCACCCATCACAACCATCACTGTCTCTTACCACCACCACTGCCGCTCACCACCTCTTACCCTTATTACAAATCGATGCTTAAATTCTTTTATCTCTTCTCTATATTTGTGATTTGATTTTGGATATTAATACAAATATTTTTATTATTTATTATTTTTTATTACTATGTGCCTTCAGGCACAAACAATAACTGGTGTATATATATATATATAAGAATAATACATTGTGTAAATACAAAACTACCCGCCATGTATTATTCCATATT